AATGTAATGACTATGTAAGTGCTACTTAGGCATATAAAGGTGAAATAGGATTATGTCCTTAGATCCTGTGGAACTAAACAACAATATACCTGCAAAGGAATCACATTGCTAGTTCAGATCAGTTCAGCTGGCACAGCATACAAATGGCATGTTTATTTTATAATGGACATGCAAATAATTACGAGGTTAACAGAGTTTAAATTTATCATAAGAACACAGGACGCAGAGACATCCTGAGTCAGAGTCCAACCTCCGCTATTGTAGGCAACCACTTTGTATAACCCCTTTCCTACAAACTCTTACAGTTCTCTTCAACTCCAGCAAGACAAAGATGCTAGTTAAATTCAACACCAGTTAAATTAAGTCTTTACTAATGGGTACTCTGCTTACTAATCCAATTAAAATTGCTCCATTTCTATAGTTTTACCTTAGTTAGACAAGCAGATATAAGCATGTTGGCTTCTTGGTATGAAGGTAATGCATTTCTGTAAGTATAAAGATGCTGTAAATTCTTATGTGTGTTTTAATCCATGTGTGAGGTCTCTATGCAGAATAAATACCACTTACAAACATTGTTAGAGAATAATCCATTTGATTTTTAAATATCCTAAATAATGGGAACTCAAAATAGTTTGTACAATGAAAATATACAATTAAAGACTAACTACAATCTCAGAAGATATCATAACAAGCATAACTCTTGGATGCTAGTTATTTCTGGCTATTTTTATTTAGTGAGTATGCACATAAAAATTAGCTATTTTTAGATAAGCAGCAGCCAGAATGAAAGATTTTTTAGATTTTTCAGTTATGGGCAGTAACAAGCTAATTGCTCGGGGCAAGTCAAGAATAGGACTATTCCCCTTTTAACTTCTTGTGTTTGACATGGACCAGTATTCGAAGGTTAAAAGCTGAAGCCAATTTAGATTATGGAAGAGGAAGAGATTAGAAGTAAATTGATCAATTGATTAAATTGACAGGATGATTATTCAAAAATGTTACTTTCTTTTTAAATATTTAGGAGACTTACAATAGTTAATAATGAGTATATGTGACTCATTTGTCTTTGGATGTCCTCTTAAGTGATTTGGGGTTGTATATGCCTGTTTGGAACGTGTCTTCCCTTTCAGTCTATAATTACACACTTCTTTTCTGCTACACATCCCTATAATGGTATTCAACTTTGAACATAGATTAGATGGATACATACTGCCATCTAGGCAGGTTTTTGAGAGTGGCACATATTTTGGAGTGACACATTAAAAAAATTAACATCTTTCTGTCTTATAGAGAAATAACTCTCTTACCCAAAATGGAGGAAAGGGAGAGAGAGATTTTCATTATAAAAAATTACAGACTTTCACTGAAAATAGAGAGTTGGGGGGGGAACATGAATTGTAAAACTCATGTTAAGAATACATATTTTCTAATGATATTTTTATGGTGAAATACATAACCTTCACATTTTCACATTCAGAATTTTAACAGGCAAAGCCCTAGGGAATTGTTATACATAGATGGCTGTTCATTTTCATACTTACAATATGCTACTACCTGAGAAAATCAGGTATTAATATAATATTAATAGTATTAACAAACCTCACAACTTTGATTAAGTGGTAACTTGTGTGCATTTTAAAGGTCCATTTTAGTACTATTTCAGAAAAGATCTATAGAAAACAACACTGTTGGTATCTTGTATTTATGACATACATTTTAGAGAATAGATTACATCCTTTAGAAATAGTTTCAACCAAATAGAAAACATCATAAAAAATATGAAGTGCATCTATTTTCAGGGGTGGATCCAGAGTAGGTGCAGTGGCATGGCTGAAGCCCACTTTTGGACTGGACCACATCACAGGAGCCTCCAGGGACCTTTGAAAGTCCCTAGAGCAAGTGAGACTCTTCTTTCTCTTCCCTCTCCTGCTCAGAGGCATGCCCCCTTCCTGCCCCTTCCCCCCACTCTCCCCCCACCTTTCCCAGCTATCCCTAGGGGTAGGGAAGCATCAGAGCTCTTCCTGCCTACTGCTCGGGGGCTGGGCTCAGTTGGGGGGTGCAGAGCAACAGCAAGGATTGTAAGAGGTTCCCCTTCCCTGTGCCTGCTCCAGAACTGGGCAGGGTGGGCCAGGAGGTGGGGACTACTCTCCAGCTGCCTTGTTGCTGCTATCCCCTCCCCAACTGAGCACTGCCCTGGTTTGGCCCAGTTGGCGGTGGAGTTTCCTCATCACCCCGTGCCCCAAAGTGTAGAAAGCAGCAATGGAAAGAAGGGGAACATGGTGGGGGGAAGTTAGGGGAGAGGAAGAGGAGGGAAAGGCATGTGCCTCTGAGCAGGAAGAAAGGAGGTTGGATTTTCATCTGCTTTAGGAACTTTAAGAAGTCCCCAGAGGCTCCAGTGGCATGGTCTATCCAACTGGCGGGAACAAAGTAGCCTGGGAGCAGGGGGCACAGGTACCCCTGGAGTGCCAGTTGCCACTCCGCACCCCTCCTTGAAAGAACCTGGATCTGCCCCTGTGTAGTTTAATATATCCAAAAAATAGCATTTATAAAATGACTTGGTTAATGGACTGTTATCTATATTGAGAATTAAAAGCAAGCTTACTTTTTCATACCTTTCAGCAGGTTCAACAAGATTCTGTAATGAAGATCTGTATTAAGAGTGCAATCTATTCATGAAATCAGAAAGCAAAACTTGAAGAGTGGATATACTACCATAATCCATCTAAAGTTGTCAACATCCTTATAAACAGTGATGAATTAACCCTCAGCTCTGCCATGAAGCAAATGCTGTCCCATTTTACAGACAAAGAAAGCCATTACAGATTTGGTCTCCAAATGCTGAACACCCAAAATAAGCGTATGGTGACAGTGTTGCTCAGCGTTGGTGAAAATAAGAATCACTGATATGCTGCATAAATATGAGTTTATTCCATTGTCCTTTAGTCTGGAATACATTCTGGACTAATGGACAATGGAAGTCGCATGGGGGACTTAAATGGCTAAACCTTACAGTCATTAGAAAGCCCACCCAGAGCTATATTTTGACTGGGGTCATGTTTGCTTTCTTGTTGAACTTAACCCTATTCTCTCAATCATCCTGGAAAATCCTCTAAGTAGGTTACAAAAGAAAAGGACTTTTTGCCTTTAATGCATTATATAGTTTAAACACAAATCTCAGTGTTTAACCCCAAGTACTCTAAATTCCCTAAATAAAAGAAGAAATTCCACTTATGAGATGCTTGCATGAATTAAAAATAAAACTCAAAGTTTTAGCCTGAGAGCTCAAGACGAAATTCACCCTAGGCTGAGGGCCAAGATACATTTAACACTGGTGGATCACAGCTGATGCAGGAGGAATCTGCTCTCCCAGGCGAGGGACAGACATTACACAAACTGGTTTAAGTGATCAGAATCTGGTTTAAACCTATAACAGATATTCAGTGCACATAAACCAGTTTGAAAATGGCAGAAACTGGTTTGAGATAAACCTGGTTGAATGTATCAGACTTAACTGATTTGGGTCAAACCAGTCTATGCAATGTTTGTCCCAGACCCCTTGCTGGTTTAAGTTAAACCAGACACCCCCAGCATCCTGGCATGCTCTCTGGAATGGGCAGTGCTCTCTGCTCCACAGCAGAGCTGCCCTGCCCCCCTGCTGCAGCTACTTCAAAGACCTGCAGGCTACTCCCACCCACCTGCCCCCTCACCACTCCCTTCTAAACAGGAATTGCCCCCTCCCCTCTGCCTTACTGAGAGGTATCTGTGTATTACCCAACAGAACACATGCTGGCTCCAGCCTGTGCTGTGACAAAGGCAGAATCAACAGGTAGTTGGTAATGTCCCTCTGTTGTTTTCTTAACGGGGTGATAAACACTGAGTTGGGGGTGATAAAGACTGTTAACAATTCCCTGCTGGGCTAATCAGAGCATCCTGCCAAGGCCTGACCACACTCCCACCTCAGCTCAGTACAGCAGAAGGAAAAGGAGGGCTGCTCTAGCACCCCCTGGCTTCTAGCCTGAGCTACTGCAGGCATGTGCCTGCATTTCTGGAATGAAAAGGGAATGTCTATCCACCTTCAGATTGCTTCAAGCTTTGCAGGTTAGTCTAACCTGCAAAGATTGAATTCATTCAGGCTCAGGCTTTTTGAATGTCTGTCCCTAGCCCCAGCCTTTGGAGCCATAGGGCTGTTGTAGGAGGTTTCACAGCTCCTTAAGCACTCCTGAAATCAGGGACAAGATAAGAGAATTCTTACAAGGGATACTTATTTTTTCTTTCGTTTCCTCCCTAATCAGCAAAGATTTTATATTCAGTTTGAAAGCTGTCAAGATATCTACAGAATCCAAACCCTTTCCATTCTTAGGTATGTCCAGTGCCCTCCAGGTTTAGTAGATTGATCTGATCTGGAGGCATTCTACAAAATGGAAAGTGAGTATTGATAGATTTAATCACATTGAAAAGGCTTTTCTACACTTTCATGTTCCTATGTGTTCCCCTAGTAGAAATGGCTCCTATATGCCTTTTTCTTCTGCTACTGATGCCAGACTTCCCCCTCCTCCCTCCCTTTTTTTTAAATTTACAATGGTGTTTTTAACAGTCCACCAAAAGAATATATCCTAGATTTAGAGAAAACAACTGAATTAAAACATAAAGGCAACCAAAATGAAGAGTTAGCAATGCACCCCCCATAGCTATCCAACCATATAGGACATGAACAAAATCTCCCTCTCCCCAAAAGATAAAACTTTTAAGCAGTTTGGAAGTCAGAGAAGAGGATTTTAGGATAGCCTTAATGGAGACCACCCAAATAATGAAAAATAGTCAGTAATGACATTGGTCAGGGACTCAGTCAAATGTCAGCATCTGCACACCTGCTGCCAGTGCTGGTCTGACCCAAACAAATTAGTTTTGCTGCTCAAACATTATTTTATTTCAAACATATAGTCACCAATTAAAGAATTCTTTGGATTTTTCCCAAAACAGAAAAAGGAAACAGGAGATGGCTTGAGCACAATATGTTTTATTGAATACAATCCCACATCTAATATTTACACAGTGAAGTCATTTGAAGATGTGTCCTAGCAAAGCACTGAAGTCGGTAAAGTTCCTACTGCATCTGAATTATTTTTAAATACATCTGAGTCTATTTATTACAGCAATCACCTGTCCATCATTGATTTTATAATCTGAGCTTTTGAAGACTAGCCAAGGTGAGCATTCACAATGGTTGACTTTACAGAAAACAATCTGCTATGGGACTTCCAGGACAAATAGAGCTGAGTAGATGCCAAAAGCTCTGAAGAAGACTTTTGAATGCAATCATTCTCCCATCTGTGAAGTAGGAAAATAATATATATGATAGACATTAAAAGCAATATTTGTAACTTAAATACATATCTCCCAGCAATACAGTCTTTTTTCTTTCATTTCACACATAATGCTTCCTACAGGATATAAAAGATTATTTCCTTTACCACATATCATGTATAAATTTTGATTAAACCCATTTCTAACTCATTGGTGACGGGTGACTTCCTAAAACTAACACACTCAAGATGTTTTATTTTAATTTATTTCAGTCATTTAGTTCCATAGTAAATGCTTTCCTGGTACATTTAACTTTATTTTTGCTTTATTGTAATCCTGGGTAAATTCAAGAAAATGTAATGGGTTTACGTTTATGGGATGAATACAGTTTTATATGCAAGAATATTCATTAAAATACTAAAAGGGTGGAAAAGTCAATCCCTGAGAAATTAGATAATGACAGAATAAATATCACCCAGGCAACATTAACAAGGGTTTGTCCATCTGTGGTCTTGAACCTGGGGCTACAGCCTGCCTGGCACAGCTGTTCCTTCTGGTCTGCCACCTCCTCAATAGTACACTGGGGCCGACTCAGGTGGCCAGAACCTTCCATCTGGGCCTGACCACTTCCTGCTACCAGAGTGCTCGGCCAGGGCCAGTTGTCCCTTCACCCTTTCCAATATAAACCTCTGATCTGAAAGAGGAACTGTCTAGGCAACAAGGCTCAACCTTGAACCTAGGCTGCTACTCCCTTGGCTTACACCAACTGCTATTGGATAACTGACAGATTATCTGGACCTGACCTGGCTTGCCCACTGACCCCAAGTGTGGCCTGACTCTTGGATTCCCTGATCCAACTTGTTTGATCTCTTAGACACCTGACCTGGCCTCCTGACCCCATGCTCTGCCTACCCCTCTGGATCTCTGACTTCATTTCCCAGACAGATCTCCTGCCTGGCTAACCTACAGTTGGATTCTGCACACTCCCTTCAGATTTTGGCTGTCTCTTCCAAGTATGGATGACTCCCAGACCTGGCCACGCATTCCCATATGCTTTATGATATAGTCTTGTATAACACTGAAAAGATACACAGCATTAAGTTACTTGGTCCCATTCAGGTGCCTGAAACCGAAGACACTATCCTTCCCTTCCTTTTAATCTTCTACCTTTCCACTCTCCATCCTCTGTTCTGATCAAAAAGATTTCTTGTAGAAAAAACCCCCAGTAAGGAATCATGTCTCTGAGGACTATTATGACCAAATTCTATTCCACCTATTGGGCACAGCTAAGGGGACTTAGGCACCCAAGAATGAACATTTTTCATCCTATTCAATTCAATAACATGCCTTTATCTTTTGTTTCAGACTGAGTAAAGCAGCAAGGAGGAGGACTCTCTCACCTTTTGCATTAATTGTTTTTCAGGGACTTAAGCATATGGGCCCTTAAGTTCATTTACATATCTAATGAGTGGATTAGTATCTGGCCTTAATGCAATATTTCGCATATAATTTCCTAGTCTTTTTTAAAGTAAATTCCATTATTTGGTTCATATTGACAATACCTAGATCAGCAACAAGGTTTGAGTCAAAGGCAATACAGGTTTTTATCAACTGTCCTAAAGGAACAGCAGTAGTAGATTCCTATGCAAAAGCTTGTGCTCTCTCTATATAACTTTTTTAGTTAGTCTATGCCAAGATGCATATTGACACTGCCTTTCAACTGATTTCAGATGAACAAGGCCAACTACCTCTCTGTGTGGATCAGCCATTCATAGTAGGTGGAACACGCACTTCGCCAGTGACTTACATAACTTTTAGCTAATGAAAGGCAGGGTCTGAGAATGGAGATTCCTGTGTTTTATTCCAAGCTCCAAAGAGAAGTGTATTTTAGTGGATTACCTCCAGACCAAATTTCAAACTCCAATCTCATTGAGGTATGAGGTAATGTTAGAGTGGTTGCAGGAAAAAATACTGGCAAATCTGCCAGTTTCTCCCTTACTTCTTCCTCAGAAACAGGAGTTTTGCTGAAGCTTTAAAAAAAAAGTCTGCCTGAAGAGCAGGACACAGATTAAATTTGATCCTGAATGGCTTAAAATTGGAAAAAAATATAAATGTCAAGGGACTTAAAATGGAAAGTACTAAGTAACATAAGATAAATAGATGTGGCTAATAAAGAGACTTTAACTTGGGAGCAAGAAGCAGCAGGGAGAGGAGGGATCCAGGCACACGTGTGCCCCGCACGCACGTGTGCCCCCTTACCAGACCCGAAGTGGAGGCGGACGCAGCAGCAGCGGAGCCAGCAGTGGGGGCAGAAGCAGCTGATCCCCCTAACGTAAGTGGGCAGAGGGACTAGACACAGCTGAGCTGGATCCAGAGGGGAAGCCCCCCAGATCCCTCTTAGCTGAGCCAGTAGGGACTGCGCTCTTGAGCCACACCACGCGAACAGAGTGTGCAAACAGGCATTTGTGTTGGCATTCGCACCAGCGGGCGAGCAGGAAGGGCCAGGATAGAGACTCCTACTAGGGCAGGGTGCAGACACTGCACTAAACCAAAAACAAGCTGCAACTCTTATTATGGTGTTGACGCGGAGTGCTGCCAGGGCCCCTGCACGGGGGGAGCAGCCTACCCGGGGCTTGTCTGAGGCCTCCACCCAGACAGAGCCCATGGGGGAGCTGGTGTCCCCCCACTCCCTGGCCTGCGGAGGCTGCCCAGCAAGGCCCGGGGGTGGGGCAGGGATTGGGGACCGCCACACCTGTCCTGCAGGCGCCCACCTTAGGGCCCTGGAGGCACAAGTGAGGGAGCTCCAGGAAAAGCTTAGCAGGCTGAGGGGAATCAGGGAGGTGGAGGAAGAAATTGGCTGCCATTTCCTTTCCCTGCAGGGCCACACACCCAAGGAAGAAGCACCTTGGGAAGTGCCCTCCACTGCAGAGTGGCAGACTGTCACCTCCAGAACCAGGGCTGCTCATAACACAGCAGTACCAGTTCTTCCAGTCTGGCTGGAGAACAGGTATGAGGCCCTGGCAACACTGGAGGAGAAGGAATGAGAGGAGGCAACCGGAGAGGAGGCAACTCCACACTCTCCATGCTCCGAAAAGGCTGAAGGAGCTAAGCAGTCCAGGAAGAGAAAGCATCAAGTGATCATCATCGGCGACTCCATTCTGAGAGGTACAGAGGGCCCCATTTGTCACCAGGACC